TATATATATATATATAATATACAATAAGACAATATACAATTATGGGTTAGGTTTAGGTTAGGTTTAGGTATCATACGCTAAACACTCTAACAATTAAAGTAATACACAAGAGTGAAAACGCCCTTAAAAAATACTTTAAAGAAATAATTATGATAATACACAAGAAGTGAAAAATACTTAAAAAAAAAATACAATAAAACGATATACAATTATGATAATAGACAAGAGCAGAAACAGTATTGAATTCAATTTAATATTCGTTAAGGTTAATAATATAAGGTTAATATAAGGTTCGTTCAGGTTAATATTCGAGTAGTTTTTCGTACGGATCAAGTTTAAGAGTGTTTGACGCGGTTCCAACAAGTGTGCGACGAGCTTTAGTCATCTCGTGTCACGTGCAAACGAATCTGTGCTCTGTTTGCGGCGGTCACGCGACTGCAAGCTGCACGTTTATTAATACTTCTCTCTGCGTGGAAATTGTGGGTGTATTAACGGAACGATTGTGCAGATCGATTGTGCGAATACGGTTGCGAACGATCGCGAACGATAGTCCGCGTTTCGGAAAGACTGAAACGACCTAAGCTAACCTAAACCTAACCTCAATCTAACCAACGTGTCTCGTTGGAACAAAAAGGAATGGGATGAATCTAAGGATTCATATATTATTAAAAAATTCAACAAAAAAGGGATGAATTAAAGGATTATTATATATTATGTATTATTTAAAAAAGTCATTAAAGGATTATCCTATTGTGTTATTATTATATATCAATTTGCTTTCTTTTGTACGAAACTTGTAAATTCCACACATTTTTCTAATCCAAGTCAGATTTCTTCTCTTCATGTTGTTTCACTATTGTCGACGGCTGATGCCTTTCTTATCCGATTTTCGAGAATTGTAAATTGATATTTCATTTCTCTCCCTTCTGTCGAATCTTACGAAAGATGCATATTCATGACTCGCTTCTTCCTCTTTTTAGCATGTTTGTTACGTGTGCGACTAATGCTTAATTTACCGCGACTAATTAAGCAAGGCTGACGATATCCAGCCGAATGTTTTAATCGAGAGGAAGTTCTGTATTCGTTGTTACAGACGAAATCGGAACAACACCTGTCGATAAACACCCATTTACTCATAATAACCGAATAGTACTCCCATCGGTAGGGTGCAATTTGATAGTTAGATCATTCTTCCGTTCACCTTCGTGTTTTATTGATTTAGGTTAGTTTAGACTTTTTTTTTTTCATTTCCAACAAAAGCACTTTATCGACTGAAGGCAAAACTGACTTTCGTTTCGTTTATTCAATGCATGAAAAAAAAAAAATTGTGTATAATTTGTTTGAATTAAAATCCTCTCTGTTCTAGTAGCTCTTTTTCTTTCAAGATTGAAAGAACCACCCGTTCTACAGGGTGGGCCAAAAGTTTCTCGCCAGCTAATTTTTTTCAAACGAAACATTTAAATCGAGGAAGAAAGTACTAATTTTCATCAATCTTTTTATTTGATTTTTTTATGAAAAATATGCAATAAAAAAATTACGGATTTATTTAATTTTATTTTCAATCGGTTAAATGCTATTTAGCACTTAGGTGATTAATTTCGGCCGGCCGATTTTCGTGTTTTAAAATCGAATCGAT